AATGGTTAGGTTTCAGAGAACGACATGGCAACTCCTGTTATATGGGTTTTGCTTGGAGTATCCGGTTAACCGGAAATAATTTGGTTTTCAATGATATACAACGAAATATGAAGTCATGCTTCTCTTTAACCCTCCACTGACTCTCCGCATGGTTACAGAATTACTGTGAAGAGCATTTCAATCGCTGCATTCACCAAGTTGATTGGTTCTCATTTTTCCTTTGTAGTGGTAGAAGACATCTATAGACGAAGGCAGCCATTTCTCTCCATGGATGCTATATACTTCATCCAACCAACAAAAGAGAAGTAATATATTTTTCTCTGCACATATATACAGACAAAGTTCTTCCCTGCAGTGAAGCGAATGTACGGGGATCTGTCACCTGATTTTTTTTTTTTATTAATATGAATGTTTAAATCAGTTTATTTATATTTTAATTAATTTTATAAATTTTAAAATTAATAATTATATAAATTTTTAATATTTCTAAAAATATTTAAATTTATAAGTATTAACAAATAAATACAAATAGTTGTTCTATCCTGAACTTCTGTGACCCTACACTTGTTTACAAACAATGCTGGCAGTGTTAAATCAATCATATGTTTTTTCTTTTTTACAGTAAAGGAGGCCGGTGTTCTTACTATTAGGGTTTTTTTTTAATTATAAATTAAAGATCATTAATGGAATCTACTATGGAAAGAATATTCCGTTAGCAATTCTAATTTTTTAGAAAAAAAAAAATTAAAAATTAAAGATCATTAATGGAATCTACTATGAAAAGAATATTCCGTTAGCACTTCTAATTTTTTAGATTATTTTTATTCCAACAGCAATTTTTAATGCTAACAAAATATTCCATTAATATTTTTATTGGTATTAGAAATCATTAACGGGATAAAAAAAAAAATTAATGAGTAACTTTTTAAAAATAATATTTTATTAGTTAGAAATCATTAACCCGTTGCTCATAATAAAGCCAATGAGCAACGGGGTAAAAAAGCCGTTAACGAGCAACTTTCAAAAGATAATATTCCATAAGCAATTCCATCAATAATTTCCCATAATAACAAAATTCTCTCTAAATACTGATAGAATACTCTTTTAGCATTCCTTAATTTTCTGCTAGTGTTTAACGTAAAAGTGTGGAATAAAGAAGCAAATAAATTAAGCTTCAATCAACGATACAAATTTGAACCTGTAAACTTAATTAACTTAAGAGTTTTGCACCAATGAGAACTAAATACCATTGTCTTGTAAAAAAAAAAAGTAGGTTGCAGTCGAAAAATAATTTATTTCCATTTTAATTTTGTATTTTTGGAAAAAAAAAGGTTTTTTTGGGCTAATAAATTATTTTTTTATTTTTTAAGAGTGTTTATTACTTAAGAGTTATTGCACCAATGAGAACTAAATACCATTATCTTGTAAAAAAACAAATAGGTTGCAGTCGAAAAATAATTTATTTCCATTTTAATTTTGTATTTTTGGAAACAAAATTTTAGGTTTTTTTGGACTAATAAATTATTTTTTTAATTTTTAAGAGTGTTTATTAGATTTTTTTTGGTGAAAATCATAAAAATAAATTTTTTGATAAAAAAAGGTCCACTCAATTTTTAGTTATTTTTACTAGAATTTAGATGTAGAGGCTATACATACATCATTTATTTCTTAAAGCAAATTAAAAAAAAATAATTTTAAAAAAATAAAAATAAAAAATCTTGAGGTGCACGGTCCAGACTTACAACCCACATGATATATTTTAAAGTTTAATTATGTATGCCTAGCATTTAAAAAAAAACAATTTCCAATAATTTTGTTGTGATTTCTTATATTTTAATTAATCAAATATTTATTAGGTATATTATTTTATTAGATTCTTAAAGTGATTAAGTATATATTTAGATATTATGTTAGTTATATGCCGGTCATTTTTTATCAGGAATTTGAATGACATTATACCTTTTTTTTATTGTATTACCAAGTATTCTTTTTATAAAACCTATCATATTTTTTTTCTTAAGCAAAATTAATATGTTGTTTTATTATAAGAGTTTATTTTTTTATCATATAATTAAATAAAATTATAAAAAATAAAATTATTAAACTTAATTAAGTTTATGACTTGGATCGCTAGTTTAATATGTTAATTCAGATTAAATAGTTTCGATTTGAGATATTCTTGATTCAATATTAAAAAAAAGATATCATCTTAAAATTTTTATCAGAATCAAATTAATTTTTAATTGATCATTTAACCTATTTTTAAAATTATCAAGTTAACTGAATTATATTATATCAACATGCATATAATTCAGTCATGTGAGTTGAATTTAATGACATTATCAAAAAAAAGTTTTTCATATCAATATTTGAACATTATATTATTCCTATACCTTTTTAATATATTCATGTCTAAGTTATCAAAGTTATCAACATGTTTTTTGTTTTATAATTCGAACTTGCTTTTAGAATAATGATAACGTGTTGTTTAAATACTAAATATTCTGATAAAGATATTTTTTTTGAAAAAAATGTGCGTGTCGGTTAGGAAAAGAGATATTGTTTTCTTATTTTAAATCATTCAAATTCTTTTAGATATTAATTTCTTTAAATTTTTATTAAATGAAAGACATCCAACAAAAAGTTAATTTTTTTAATGAAATTAAAAATATTTATAAAAAAGGAAATATAATAGAAAATTAGTTTGTTTTTTAAAAAAATTAAATTATTATTTTTTATAATTAAAATATTTTTTTATAATTAAATATAAATAATTGAAGGGTTTTTGTAATGTAAAAT